GATTCGGCCGCGACGTTCGCCGCGTAGCTCTGGGAGAAGCGGAGAGAGCCGCCGTACGCCGTCACCTGATCTCCGAGGAACTGGGCAGGTAGGTTCCAGTATAACGGCTGCGGACGAAGGCAGAGGTGTCAACATTCTATCCTGAGGAACTGGGCAGGTAAGTTCCAGTATAACGGCTGCAGACGAAGGCAGTGGTGTCAACATTCTATCCTGAGGAACTGGGCAGGTAGGTTCCAGTATAACGGCTGCGGACGAAGGCAGAGGTGTCAACATTCTATCCTGAGGAACTGGGCAGGTAAGTTCCAGTATAACGGCTGCAGACGAAGGCAGTGGTGTCAACATTCTATCCGGGTTGAAAAGGAGGACTACGGTACGCTTTACGGAACTGCGAGGCCGCTGATCCCTGCCCCCCCCCCCCCCCCCGCCCACCGCTCCCGCCCGGCGCCCGAGCCACTGAACAGAGGGACTGAAAATGGAGAATTTTGTGTAGCTGTACCACAAGATGACAAACTTTTTTGGACAATGACATAGCACAACATAGCACGGGATCTCTCTCTCTCTTCTCTCTCTCTCTTCTCTCTCTCTCTCTCTCTCTATCTCTCCTCTCTCTCTCTCTCTCTCTCTCTCTCTCTCTCTCTCCTCTCTCTCTCTCTCTCTTCTCTCTCTCTCTCTCCTCTCTCTCTCTCTCTCTCTCTTCTCTCTCTCTCCTCTCTCTCTCTCTCTCTCTCTCTCTTCTCTCTCTCTCTCTCTCTCTCTCTCTCTCTCTCTCTCTCTCTCTCTCTTGACCTTACCCAAGGGCTAGAGAGGTACGATCTGCACACTTCATAACACCCCCGTATTGTTGTAGGCATCCACTTGTTCCCACGGGGATATTCATGAATGAAGCGTGGATAGCACGCGAGCGATATGGTTGGACGCCACATGCAGACAGAGGCGTAGAGTCTGCTGCGGCGCCACATAGTCCCTATCTCACGTTGTCATCGCCTAGGCCTTCGTAATACGTGAAGACCAGCTGCTGATTGGCTGAGTCGATGGTGCCCTGCGTCAGGACTTGATCCATCTCGTAGTCCGTGATGGTGTCTCGGACGTCCAGCCCGTCGGTAGAAAACACAAGCGATTCCTGCCGACGGAACTCGCCGTTAAATTAGGTAACGGGGTAACTGGGGTAGCTGAGATAACGTAATGGAGATCATATTTCTATCTGCTGTAGGTTTAGGCTTAGTTAAATTATTTGCATGCATGACTTTTGTCCGAGAGCAACTAACTTTTCTAGGTTTTCAGCACCAAATATAAGCAAATGAGTGGCGCTGGAGGCGCCAAATAATGACGCGAGCCTCTTGATCTCGACCATTCAACATATTTGGACGCGGTTCCCGCCGACTGACGCGAGCCTCTTGATCTCTATCATTCAGCATGCTTGGACGCACCAGCGACACACCAGAGCCACCGATGACAAAACTGTACTGCGCACGAGCGCTGTAAAACATCCTCGCTCAGAGTGCTTGAAAATTGCACTTCCCTATCGAGCCGTAGAGGCGTGGAATCGCTTCCACGTTGCCACGCGCCTGTGCAAAAACTTAAGCGAGTTCAAGGGCAAAGCAATGTCTTTCATCAGAGAACTTACCTAAATTGACCAACTGGCCATGACGTGCAGGTGCTGATTGTATCACAGGTCGTTCATGTTTTATAACATCGTATTTGCATTGCTCGCGTTGCGTCCAATTTGGACGTGTTGCGTGTTCTTTGTTGACATATGTGGTATGCACTGACAGGTATATGATAATAATAATGATAATAATAGGACGACTGAGAGATATGAAATATAAATCTAGAAAAATCCTATATCTCTACTCTCAGCTAATGTTCGTAAAGTACAACTTGCAATGTCCAGGGTAAAAATGAGACTGCATGACTCTTAGGCGAGACTCAGTGTTCTGTCCCCCTCCCAGGCATGACATCAGTGCACAGAAGGCTGACATTAAAAATGATAGGGCTGCCTGTATGTGCACTTTATTGTAGTACTTGACTATCGCTTTGAGCGTTGCGCCATTTGCTCCAATGTCCATCACATTTTATCAGGGCATTCCTAAAATGCTCATAAATGCTTAAAGGTGTTTGTGTTCCTTTTGACTGCCGTTTGCATTGTTCACCAACTGTAGCTGCACAGCTCCGTCGTCAGATTGCACGGACGCAAACCATGTGTTCGTTTGTTTGCGGACCGCGACAGTTATTCCAGTCGTGCACGCCGCCTTCCGATTGCCGTGAGCGGGCAGAGCAGCTGTGCAGTGTGTAACGTTGGACTTCGCTCGCCGACTCAGTCCACTAGTATAGGCGTGCATACTCAGAACGCCATCTCCGTACCAAATGGGGGTGAGCGGCGACATTTGGCAATGTTAAACTAAACATCAAATTTTTCGTGAAAGCTGTAAACTTTCACGGCTTCATACCTTGTTAGGCTGTACATTTGGAACCAGTTATCGTGTTCAAATGCTAATAGTTATTTTTTCATAAATGCAGGAGGATTTTTAGTCTAATCCTGGTCAAATTCCTCATTGGCATACGCTGCTGTGTGCGATCTACCTGAACCATGCATGATCAGCACCAGCACCTGACCGAACGGTACCTGTTGGCGATACCAGTCGGACGAGCTGCACTGGTCGGTGACGCCCATGCAGAAGCAGTTGACACAGCCGTGCTGGTTGCTGGCGCTGAGGTGAAACGCTCGGGGCACGCAGCGGTCGCAGCGACTACCCGTGACGAATTCCTGAGCAGGGTCCACAGCTAGGGTCAGCGGCAAGGCGTCAGTCGGACCCGTACGAGCGCACAGGTCCGCCAGTTTGTCTCGTTCATGTGTGCTAGTGGGGCAGGGTGCGGTGGTAGCGTTTGCATTGAATATTCTAAACATAAATATAAATATGTTTCGTGTTAACAGTCATCTCAACAGGATTGTTCGAACGAACCTACGAATGAAGGAACGACGGAACTGAGGCGAAATTGCTGACGTCAGCAGCGTCGTCTCTTCGCGCAATGGGGCCCTTTTGTCTTCCCAGTGATCTCCCTTACAGTACTAATGCTGTGTCCATCTTATCTGATGGCAGCATGTTAGATTATTTAACGTGTTATGCTGTGCATCCCGACCGAGGCCTGATCATGTGCCGCCGCGGGATTAAAAGCTGCAGTCAATAAAAACTTTGGAAACGTATTTGACAAATTTCACTCTGAACAAGAAGAATTAGTACGGGAAACAGAACCCCTACAAAGTGAAACATGAACTAAAAGTACGCTCATACGTAATTAGAAATGTATCGAAGATAACCTGCTTTCAGTCTTCACCATTGTTTTTTCATTATCATTACATAATATATATATATATATATATATATAAACATGCACATATACATGCACAACATATAGATATATATATATATATATATATATATATATATATATATATATTATATATATATATATATATATACATGCATATACACGGATTAGTCATTTCCCATGACGTACACCAATGTTTACGAAACGATATATATAATTTCCCACGAGATACAATATCATATATCTATACAGATATACTATATATATCCACTATCTTCTTCTGGTATATTAAAGTTCGGTTGTTTGCAAAATACGAACTCATGTCCTTCAGATGACCCTTCAGAAAGCAAATACTAAACGGCACAATATTCACTCAAACTCTAATGAAATGCAATAAGCCCTTAAATCTGCGGACATCAGCGACGGCGTGCCGCTGGACGGCGACACTAGACCAGGGCGGCGCCGGCCGGCGGTGCTGGCCGGTGGCGTCCTGTTTCAGGCGCCGCCGGTCAGGTAACCATAGTGTTGATTAAGATGTACAGCCTCTGAGAGTTACGTTGGCGATAAAAAGAAGGCGAATAGCTTCTTAATGCAAGAATTACACTTACAAGCGACCCACAAGCAGACAAACATAGAGAAGCAGTACCACAGGCCCCAGAACGCATAGGAGCCGGGTTCAGAAGCCATGGGTGACTGACCTTACAGTCGCAGAGTCCCGTCCGGGGGTCAGGGTCGTCTCGCAGTGATCCAGCCGGGTCGCATTCTCCTCCTGTCACCCAGGTTTGGGATGAATGCGTTTAACTTCATGTCACAGCACAAAAATGACGTTGGCTTCGGAAAATGTTGACGGCATGGTTTTCACTGTTCATAACATCCGCTTCCCCGCGGCGCCCGCCCTCCCTGCCAGGGTGACAGGCAAGCGACGCCATACAACCTCACCAGCTGAATGCGTCGTAAAGCCCCAATCGTATACTAAGTTTATGGCAAGTATAATGTAAGAGCCAACGACCAATGACTGAGGTATTGACGAATACCACGTTCTCCCCCGCTTCGGTCATCTTGTGATTTTAGGCGAGGTGCTGGTGGCGAGGTGCTGGCGAGTTCAGCTCCGCATTGGAGAGCTAACGCAAACGTTTGGAGTAAGAGCAAGGTAGCCCAAAAGGGCGCAGAGTTTACCAATATGGGCTTTTTTTATACCGATGAGCGGGCTCAAGCGCACATCAGCACACATAAGTCCTGCGAGCTTCAGCCCACCCAGCGATGTTCATGAGCCCTGCGTCGCTGGCCTACCTCTGACGCAGGGCTGGCCGCGACCGGGCTGGCCCCTGTAGCCGGGGGCGCACCGCTCGCAGCGGCGGCCCGCGTAGCCCGGCTCGCAGTTGCAGGTCACCTGGTCGTCCGTGTCCAGGAAGCACGTGCTACCGAACCTGCAGCGCGCGCGCTCCGCAGTCATGGCCAACACAGCACAAAATGTGTTCGGGCCCGAACGAACAGACGGTGTCTGCCAGGGTCCAACGCCTTATGTCATGGTCATGGCTGTGGCTTTCTGTACGGGAGAATGCGGCATGCCAGGTGCAGCAGCGGCCACCAGTCCAGTCTCGATACATGTGAAACTTGTCTGATAAAGCAAATGTATGTCATCATGTGCATGCTTCGGCCGGGATAAAAGGCGTGAATCGGCGTAAGCTTTCGATTTGCTCCGTCCCCAGAATTGGATACCAAGATACCAGAATGATTTCTTTTGTGACCAGTGACGTGAGGTAAGGTAGACTGAATCCACGTCAATTCGTTAAAAAAATTTGCGTCCCTAAAAAAGTTTTCCTTCCCTAAAGCGTGACCTTCGGGTCAGCTAAGGTCAAAATGGTCAAGCACGAATCAGTGTAGGAAGTGCCCTTTGACTTTATTATGAATCCATCTTGAGCTTGAATATTGTTTTCCCCAAAAACATCAGCCAGTGTAACTTCAGGTCGGTGATATAAAATCGTCCGAGGTGATTTTGGTACTTCAGGCTACAGTCAGCTGATTCAACGCGACCCACGTTGTTGCACATCCCATGGAGCACCAGCAACTGCAAAGGCCATGGTAGTGCTCAGGCGTCAATTCGAATTGCCTTACTGTCTGCACTAGTTGTGCTAAACCACCTCAAACATGTATGACTTTATCTAAAACTCTGTTGAGCCTCTAGCTTGAAAGCTGCCCTCAAAATTATCGTTGGTAACAGCCTCGGCTTGGTTTTGATATGCTAACAGGTCAGCGGCCTTGCAAGACGCGTCTTATTTTGTTATTATATAAAAATCATCAGCCATTAAATTGTCTAAAGCTCCGCAAAGTTTTTGCCTTACTGCGCCACACCTTTCGGAAATTAGCTCGGAAAAATCAGGGTGGTCAAATTAACTTCATTGCAAAGCGCAATCTCTATCATTGGTGACGGGGTTTGGATGTTGCATTGCGTCGTATAGCTTTCGACATAACCGTATAGCTACTCCACATTATAAATAATGTGCCTATGCTGAAAAAACCGGGTTGTCATAATCAACTGTTTTCTTGTTTTGTCAACACTAAATAACCTCTAAGCAAGCATCAAATCCAACTGAACTAGCGGGCTCAGGCACCAGTAAAGTGGCCGCTGGCCAGCTTTGGACTGAGTAATGGACTGAGCTGGCCAGCTAGTTTAGTCTATAATATCGCTTGAACCAGCGATTTTGACAGCCCAGGGATGGCCAGGCTGAGGATGGACCAGGGATGGCCAAGCTGAGGATGGACCAGGGCTGGCCAGGCTGAGGATGGACCAGGAATGACCAGGCTGAGGATGGACCAGGGATGACCAGGCTGAGGATGGACCAGGGATGGCCGGGCCGAGGATGGACCAGGAATGACCAGGCTGAGGATGGACCAGGAATGACCAGGCTGAGGATGGACCAGGAATGACCAGGCTGAGGATGGACCAGGGCTGGCCAGGCTGAGGATGGACCAGGGCTGGCCAGGCTGAGGATGGACCAGGGATGGCCAGGCTGAGGATGGACCAGGGATGACCAGGCTGAGGATGGACCAGGGCTGGCCGGGCTGAGGATGGACCAGGGCTGGCCAGGCTGAGGATGGACCAGGGATGGCCAGGCTGAGGATGGACCAGGGATGGCCGGGCTGAGGATGGACCAGGGCTGGCCAAGCCGAGGATGGACCAGGGATGGCCAGGCTGAGGATGGACCAGGGCTGGCCAGGCTGAGGATGGACCAGGGATGACCAGGCTGATGATGGACCAGGGCTGGCCAGGCTGAGGATGGACCAGGGATAGCCAGGCTGAGGATGACCAGGGATGGCCAGGCTGAGGATGGACCAGGGATGGCCAGGCTGAGGATGGACCAGGGCTGGCCAAGCTGAGGATGGACCAGGGCTGGCCAGGCTGAGGATGGACCAGGGATGACCGGGCTGAGGATGGACCAGGGCTGGCCAAGCCGAGGATGGACCAGGGATGGCCAGGCTGAGGATGGACCAGGGATGGCCAGGCTGAGGATGGACCAGGGCTGGCCAGGCTGAGGATGGACCAGGGATGACCAGGCTGAGGATGGACCAGGGCTGGCCAGGCTGATGATGGACCAGGGATGACCAGGCTGATGATGGACCAGGGCTGGCCAGGCTGAGGATGGACCAGGGATAGCCAGGCAGGGATGAACCAGGGCTGGCCAGGCTGAGGATGGACCAGGGATGACCAGGCTGGGTAGACCAGGGATGACCAGGCTGATGATGGACCAGGAATGGCCAGGCTGAAGAAGGACCAGGGCTGGCCAGGCTGAGGATGGACCAGGAATGGCCGGGCTGAGGATGGACCAGGGCTGGCCAGGCTGAGGATGGACCAGGGATGGCCAGGCTGAGGATGGACCAGGAATGGCCAGGCTGAGGATGGACCAGGGCTGGCCAGGCTGAGGATGGACCAGGGATGGCCAGGCTGAGGATGGACTAGGAATGGCCAGGCTGAGGATGGACCAGGAATGGCCAGGCTGAGGATGGACCAGGGCTGGTCAGGCTGAGGATGGACCAGGGATGACCAGGCTGAGGGTGGACCAGGGCTGGCCAGGCTGAGGATGGACCAGGGATGACCAGGCTGAGGGTGGACCAGGAATGGCCAGGCTGAGGATGGACCAGGGATGGCCAGGCTGAGGATGGACCAGGGATGGCCAGGCTGAGGATGGACTAGGAATGGCCAGGCTGAGGATGGACCAGGAATGGCCAGGCTGAGGATGGACCAGGGCTGGTCAGGCTGAGGATGGACCAGGGATGACCAGGCTGAGGGTGGACCAGGAATGGCCAGGCTGAGGATGGACCAGGGATGACCAGGCTGAGGATGGACCAGGGATGGCCAGGCTGAGGATGAACCAGGGCTGGCCAGGCCGAGGATGGACCAGGGATGGCCAGGCTGAGGATGGACCAGGGCTGGCCAGGCTGAGGATGGACCAGGGATGACCAGGCTGAGGATGGACCAGGGATGGCCAGGCTGAGAGGTTGCCATTACAGATGGTACTAACTGGAATCGTGGTCCCGGACACGGACACGGCCGGCAGGCAATGCCTCGGCGTGGATCTCCATATTCGCCGGGCCTGCACTCCTCAGCTTCCTCGACACAGGTGCCCAAGAAGTCTCCAGGCCGTCGCTCGTAGCCGGGGGCGCACTCCTGCGGACACAGTCGGTTACAGTCACCAGCAAAACGACGGTCAGGCGCGGTCAGTCACTGGGTCTATGGTGGATTACACTAGTAATTTCAGGCCATTTTGACGCATAAGTACATCACATGCTTGATTTTCTGGTATCAATGATCTCGAGTGTCACGGTGTATGGACATAGTTGGCCTACGTAGTCGTTCATGTTCCATAGAAACGTCTGCATCGTTACATTTTTACTTTCTTGATTCACATAATCATACGTTGCGTGAGTTGTTTAGTGCATTTGCAAGGAACATTAAACCTCCTGTTAAGACAGTACTGCTAGTTTTAAGTTTTGAAGAGTGACCAGGAGAAAGGAGACCTGAGTGTATTAAGCCAAGCATGAAATCAAAGCTGTATTATACACATCTATATCTCCTCTTTCCTGCTTTTTTTCTACAAGAAATAAGGCTAGCAGTGCTATCTTATCTCTATACAAATTGCATGGTTCCAAGCAATCTCTGGTGCCCGGCTTTTTAGTGCTTTCCTTAAAGGGTCCTTTTATTCAACGTGCTTGTTATGCTTTTAAGGTGCTCGCTTTCATAAATGACTGTTTTTCAGGTACAGACAGCACGGCGTTGACGATGCGACGCCGGACGTGAGCGTACAGGCTCTCCTGGACCATGCAACAGAACGGTAGGTGTCTAGTCTGCCAGGCCTTCCATGGGCTCCGCCGTCACGTCCAGGCCAACCTTTCGCGTCACAGATTACACCTGCTCAGGCGGTACTGCGTGTCAAATAGGGACTCGATGGCGCGACCGGACAGCCTGTCTATAAACAAAGAATGGAAAGCGACGATGAGGCAGCAGAGCAAAGCCTCTCTGCACAGCTGTGTTCGCCCCACAGCTTACGATGGGAGGCGCTGCTGTATGGGCAAACTGTTAGTCGTCTTCATCCCGCCCCTGCCGCCCTCTGCGCGTTCAGTGCAGAGCGAGACCGGAAGGCGCAGCAGGAAGAAAAAAGACCGGGTGAAAGCGGGGGTCAAGACTCTGAAGCCGACGACGATTTTACCATCGGAAGGGCAGCTTGAAGTGAGCTATGCCCTACAGCTCAATATCTTTGACAAAGTGACCAGCGCGCTCACGAACACATCACGAACACAGGAGCGGGCCTCCGCACCAGGCCTCTATTTGCGAAGCCGCACCAAACCGGGTGACTGATCTAAGTAACGCCTCAGGCCATACCAAACGATAGCAGGCGTGCCAGTTCGCATTGCCGACGGTCCATGGATGGATACACTGCTCTAGATGTGTTCTGCGCATAGCGCACCGGCTGGAAGTCAATACCTGGGCAGTGACTGGTGCGGTAGGAAAAGCAGCGGTCAGAGAGAGGAAGATGATGGTGCCTCAACAGGTCCGTCAGAAGATAGGATTGGTGGGTAATCAGCCAAGGCCAGCTGGGACCGGCACATCTAACGAAGGCAACACTTCGCGTCGAGCACTTCATGATCCCTCATTGCTCAGCGAGATCACGGGTCAAAGTAGCGACTCATCGCGTAGTTATCAGTACTCCACGCAGCACCTCAGACCTATAACCTGTCAGCCTAGATCGATACGCCGAACACATAATGGAGGCTGCTGAACTTTCATTGGCCTGTATCCGGGGTTTCAGGTGCCTATCTCCTGCACAAGCTGTTGATCCACGGTCAGATTGCGATCCGTTGTCTTCTGTTGTCAATTGGCATGCATGAGGAAGGAATACAGGAGACTCGAAACAACCACAACCACGACTGTGAAGACCGTCTAGAGCACGTCTGCAAACGTTCCGAAACGATATAATAACCGACCAGGTTCACTGCCTGCTTATTACTAGTGGTCCCAAAATTGTTGACATCAGCAGTGACCTGAAGCGAAACCTGAGCAGACGGAAAGGTGGCATTCTAAGGCAGGCTGCTGACATCAGTCATCTACTGGCAGGCCCGATGGGGAATGGGGCACAGTCAGAAGATGACGAGGAGATGGGGGACGATGATCTGGAGGAGCCTCGAGAAGTGTCGGATGAAGTGTTGGACGAGTGCACGCAGTCAGTCCGCACGTGCGTGCAGCTTCCAGACTATTGTATGCAAACGGAGTGCAGTGCCAACTTAACAGCCAAGAAGCATGCGACGTATGAGGAAATTGTGTGATGTGGCTGTTTGCTCCGTGCTTTGTGTTAATGGCCCCATTTATATATGATGATGTGTTCCGCTTAATATACAGAACTGACTGTTTTAAAGCAAGTTTATCTTTTCAGTACCTCAAAATGTCGGGCAGCGCAAGTACGATATCTATCTCCTAAACAAGTAACCACGATAATGGGTCATCATCTTGACTTCCTTTTATGTCAAATTCTAATGTAACTGCAGCCCACATAAATTTTGGATCCAACGCTGCGAGCTTTTAGTTAATTTCGACCACCTGCCATTGTGTCGTCCCGCCATTAAGTTGTGATGTCATTAGGCCTTAAGAGTTTTGCCTTGTTTCATTGCCGTTTGGTCCGTTTTGTGCTCCGATGTGGCATTGCTGCTTGAACTTACCGCGCACGCTTGTGTAGTTATGGATGTGACGTTTGACAGCAAAAAGCCACAGCTGTGGATTTATTACTGAACAAATACTGCGTCTTGTATTATGACTATCGCGGTACGTGCGCGCAATGCTGATCCAGGAGCAAATTTTTACTTTTTACTTGTTGCTACACGTGGTGTGGCAATGGCACCAGCTGAGCATGGGTGTCGAGGACTGCTGTTGGCAATGGCTCCAGTTGAGTAGGGATGCTATGGACCGCTGTCGGCAATGGCCGTAGCTGAGCAGGGGTGTCGTGTACTGCTGTTGGCAATGGCTACGGCTGAACAGGAATGTCGTGGACTGCTGTCGGCAATGGCTCACCTCGCAGGACATGCCTGTATAGCCGGGTGGGCAGCGGCACTCCTCGACCAGCGTGGCGGGACCCTGCGTCGTGTCCGCCCGCTGGGCGCTGTCGACCCGGAAGGAGCTGAACGACGCCACGGAGCCGTCAGCAGAGGTAGCGCTGCGGCACCGACGCCGTGCTGTTACCATTGAGCACGGGGTCGTCAGCAGAGGTAGCGCTGCCACACCGACACCGTACTGTTACCATTGAGCACGGGGTCGTCAGCAGAGGTAGCGCTGCCACACCGACACCGTACTGTTACCATTGAGCACGGGGCCGTCAGCAGAAGTAGTGGTGCCACACCGACACCGTACTGTTACCATTGAGCACGGGGTCGTCAGCAGAGGTAGCGCTACCACATCGACACCGTACTGTTACCATTGAGCCTGGGCCGTCAGCAGAGATAGCGCTGCCGCACCGACATCGTACTGTTACCATTGAATATAACGGGGCCGTTTAGGAAGACAGCACCAACGCCTACTGGAAACCATGGAGAGGTATATGGCACAGTGGGCAAAGCAGTACCGCTGAACACTGAATGAACGGGCTACCAAGCTTCACAGGTCCGTGCCATCCAATACGCCCAGCGTGCAGTAAGGCCCACACGACATCCGATGCTCGAGCAAAAAGATGGAACCGAAAAATTTTAGTGTGAATTGTAAAAGAGCCTTCTTTTTGCACCGAGATCAATTTGTCCGAGATTTTCTTCTTTGTCTTTACAGGGTCATTTTTAAGCAAATTGATTCGTGCTTTTGTTAATACTGTAACGACACATGACTTAAGTACATATATAGATTCAGGTGTCTATATATGCACAAATACATATGTACATATATATATATATATATATATATATATATATATACCGTCTGACAGTGGTCCTGCGGGTCAGTGTAACGTAAAGTCCTAATCGTCATGACCAGCTGTAAAAACAAAGAGTATAATGTTAAGCGCAGTCTGAAAACTGTGATAGAGGAGTACCACTGCATAAATACCGGATCAATATTAATTTGTATAACAGTGGTACACGACAGTTGAAACCATCTCATACCGGGAGAGATGTCCTTCCAATGACGCAAGAGAAACCCAGGGTCAGATGGCTTGGCGCATCGACGGACAATCTAGAAAATAGCGCCCGCTGCATGCCGTTACACATCGCCACATTTATATCAATGGCAAGTCACATTGCTTGCTGCGCTCACGCTTGCATCAAATAAGCCAGCGATGTTGTATCACAAGACCGACTTCTCCCAATCGGCTGCCATGGTGAGGACAGTTCTGTGCGGGGTGGTCAGAATCTGCGCTAGCCGTAGCTCCATGGAATTTCGGCGTGTCTTGCCAACAAACGTGTGCTTTCGGGAGATCCCTCGTCACGAGGACCCTCAGCGAGAAGTCCGTGCGCCTCCACTTTTCAACGATGTTCTGCATGCATAGTGATGACGTGTCTCAAAGTGGACCCTTGATTTACACTTACGTTTTTCCAAGGTTTCAGCGAGGGCCAATTTTTCGGTAGTTTGAGCGACCAACATTTTGGCACTTTCGTGCCAAGATTTCATGTAGCTTATTTTAGTCAAAACAACAGTCAAGATCGCCGATCTTATTAGTGTAAAAAATTAGTTAAATTGGTCGAGTTTTGCATAATGTCAAATACGCACTGTGCAAGGTGGCTTTCACAAACAAATGTACAAATGATGCACAGTGTTTGAAAGCTTGTTCATGGTTGCTGAAAGCATGTTTTCTCTTATGTCTTATGTCTTGGTATTGATTGATTGTCTTGTGTCTCCTTGCACGTTTTGGTACCTCTTTAGGAACTAAAGCCCACTAAAAAGTGTTCGCGGGAGTGTTCGAAAAATGCATTGGCTGCTAAGAAAGATGCTCGTCTATTGCGTGGGGGTCACATCGACTAACCGGCTCATTATGCTTCAGAGAGTGACAAATGCATTCCACACAGAAAATAACGTCATGGAAAAAGTAGCTTTTTAATGGATTCTGCTGTGCATACAGTAGCAGAGATGTACTAACCACTGGCTGTGCAATGTACGATCAAGTCTTAACATGCAACTTCTTAAATGCTAGCGCAGATTTTGTAAAACATATATGATCTATTGCACACCACTGGCGATTTTTAAAACATAAAGTGGCCAAAATGAGCAACGAGCTTCCGGCCTCAAACCATTTCCTGGTTATTAGATTGTTTCGAGCACTATTACCCAGTAAGCAGACACATTCCTGAAATGGCCAATGCTTGTTCATCCACTAAATTCAGCACATCAACTTTCTGCATGTTTGAGCTTTGCAGACTCCTGCTGTGCACATCTCTCACGGGATCAGGACGCTGTCGAATGTTCTGCAGCGCCATCATGATGGAAGCTCTGTCGGCCACGACGATGTTACCGCGGACATCAACCGTGTCCAGCTTGCCCTCGGTGAGCTGGATGGCGTAGTTGTCGCTCGCTGGTGCACTGGGCCGGTGCAACAGGGTCACGTCGTTGCCCTGCGAAGCACGGTGGCCGGCCGGTACAGCGCCATCCACGCTGATGCATTTGTCGTAAACGTGATGATGCGTGTAACAGTGCACTTTTGCCGTTTAAGCGAGTAACACCACGACGAAACATTCCGTGCAATGCTCCATGCTGGGGTGGATGTGCAAGTTCTTGAGGTTTGCAAGGGTTGTAATTTATTCCGATACACTTCTTGGTCAGATGCAACACTGCGCGCCTGCCTAGACGGACCTGACGTAGGAAAGCGCAGCTGCGGCCCGTGCTCGGCCACATCACGTGACGTTTTTCGTAATATATCCACGATCCAGCACAGCGCCCGCTGGATACATCACGTGACGCTTCCTTAATATATCCCCTATCCAGCGCGGCCCCACCGGCCACACCACGTGACGTTTTCTCTGTATAGCCACTAACCAGCGCGGAGTCTGTCGGTCACTACGCAACTGCTGTATTATGACGTCTAATGCAACAGGAACCTCGAAACCCGTGACAGAAATGAAGGCAGGCGGCTAAAGCCAACAACCAGTAAAAGATGCAGATCTGTCCCGCCGGAATGTGTGTTTTTCGATAAGTATTCAGCATTTGTCATACTCATTATCAAAATTTTAAAACAAGGCACTTATTCTGAAATGGTCGATAACCGCCACGGGCATTTCCTGCCCAACATACCAATTGAATGGAAACTGGGGTTGGTAACGATGTGGTGGAAACTGGAAACCACTGGAAACTGGGGATAACTTTATTTTAGCCTTTCCATCACATATGCAGGCTAATTCTTATCGCGGGGCAGCAGCGTTACATCTCGGATGAGAAATCTTTGGACTGTCAATCTCGTACGGTGAGCTAGAATCTTCACAAAACTTCCGTTAAACAGTTTTCTCGTCGTCAGATGTTATTGAGTCCTGCAGAGGACTGAAAGATGCGCATGGACTAGGACACCGTCCAATACTCAGGACCCAATGACACCAGACGACAGCTGGAGAAATGACCGGCGGAAACATTGTGTAGAACCCAGTTAAACTATCGGCAAAGCCCCTGAGTGCTATTAGTTTAGACAAGGCTCACTATACCAATGCAAAATTAATAGTGTCCGTGTTTTTTTTTTTCATCCAGCCGCTTAACACCCGCTTTCTTCAATTTATTAGCTCCAAAATACACACAAGATTGCATTTTGCGGTGACTTCTCCTGCTTCTGTTCCAAATCAATAAGTTCAAAATAAAGTAGAGCGAAGAAAATCGTTCCATTCGAAATCAAGGGAGCCCAATCCTCGTGTCCGTTTTGTCCCCCGCCATCAGAGGGCCTTTTGTTACCCGCCCCCCCCCCCCTTTCCAAAGCTCTGGATGCGCCACTGTGAGAAAATGGGAAACAGGAGCTGACATAGGTACTATATACATGTCTGCAAACCATCCGACCGGATCCCCCGTTCCGCTGGTAGGTCCAGCACAGTGTAACGTAAAGGGCTTGAAAAGGTGTGCAGCAGGGTCCTCGAAATTCAAGGCACGGATTTTATTTTAGGATCAGTTGCCCGTAGCTTTGAAGCTCACATCAGTTCCAAGTGATGTAAGCATGCAACGTAGCAAAAGCAAAGCTCGAGGAAAACGACTGCAAAGAAAATAGCTTGACACGGGCTGTGACATCTATGGATGTATCAGATTTGGGTATATTAATGCGGTTCTGTTTCAACAAACAAATTGGGAATGCTACTGTCAGAAATGGTGGGCAGTGAGGGGCCATGGCAAGAGGGGCATGGCTCTCTTGCCCCTCCCCTCCCCTTCGCTTGTCCATGACCTGTACTCAAAGCTGCCCCATTCAGGATGGAATTGTGAAGTTGGACGTGCATATATAAAAAGCCTCCACTCCATCCTAATGTGAAGTCCTGTACTAAATCCACGCACTTTTGATAAAAGACTGCACGAAATAATTGTAATTCATTTCAGAGCTTGATGAGAACGCATATTAGTACAGGTTGACAGATCATGCGAGTATACTCCTTGTCCAAATTTCCTGCTG